TCAGCCACAGAGGTGGTGCCCTGCTGATAGGTGCAACAGCCTAAGGCAGCTTTGCAACCCGAAAGGACATTTAACATGCCGAATACATGCTGCGAAACCAGGAGCCTGGTATAATCTTCTTCATCCCTCGCAGTGCGCGCGGTCGCAAAAACAGGTGTCACAACCCCGTGGCGTGCACCTTGAAGCACACGGTCTGCGGCGTATACAACACGCAGGCCCAGCCAGGTGTACGCATCGACGGAAATCATGAGTTTATGCATGATCCGCCCGTAAACACGAAACCACTATCGAGCAGCACAGGCGGGCCGATGCTTGTGCCTCTGAGAGAGCCCAGCACGGGTCACACGCAGGCCGAGAAACGAACAGACTTGGCCCAGGGAAAATGCCACGGACAAAGCGCTCACCCCTAGCTGGCGGGACCAGTGCCACAGCCTTCGCCGCGGACGCTCGCTCATCAGAAATGTTACCTCGTCTCCAGGCTGCGTGGCCTGGGAACCTGTAACACCTGTGTTGGAGTGAGCCCCTCTACTCATGGCGCAGCTGACATAGCACCGGAGCAGGCGCATCCCGGCCTTTCGGCCGTCCTTGAGACCAGTACGCGCCAGCCACCGCCAGTCTAAGCGCGGACTGTTGATGCTGCTCCCAGTCATATGCCCAATCACACAACTTGCTCTCAAGACTGGGCCGCCCAACAAATAGGCAGGCCTAACAGATCCTGTCTTGCAGGCTGAGCGCTTGCACGTCAGAGGTACGGCGCGCGGCATGCTCGATCTGGTCAGCCACACACGCGGGCGAGCAGAAACGCAATTCCCTCCCCCCCAGGTCGTGAAGCAGGCACGGGGGGGTCCTTCAACTTCAATCTCACACGCTGGCACGTGGAGCGCCGCCACAGGCTCCCGACACGAAACCCACGGGCATTGCTGGGCCATTCGTCTAGCGCCGTCGTCGCAGAGAGCCTGGCGGACAGCCCTGACAGGAGGCTGCCCCATAGGACCTCCCCGCATTGCTCTGCAGGATCTCGGGCCGTGATCACCAGGGGACCTCGCCTCGAGCCGCGCCTGCCACAGGCTGCCACGCGAGGCCCGTGGAGGCCCCCCCCGCGGGAGCCGACCCTCAGCACGAGCGGCTGCCCCCCGGAGCTGCGTGTCGAATGGCGGCCGCGGCACCGCGCGCACGGGGAGCCCCGCGGGATCGACGCCGCAGCCGGCGCCGCCGCGCGGCCGCGCAGGCGCCCCGCCGCCACCGCGCCCCCCCCCCGTCGCGGAGGGGGCAGGTCGCTGCCGCTGCCTCCCACGGGGCGGCGCAGCGCGCAGCAGCCCTGAGAGCTCGCTCGGTAGCGTTACGTCGGGCATGTGCCTCTGCAGGAGGAATGGATTCAAACATCGTCAAACGCAGCCTGGGGACGATTGTGCTGTTACTGTCTGATTGTGGTTTACGAGTTATGGACTATGTTTGATGCTTCTTTCAAGCTCCGCCCTGACCGACCTGGCCCCACTGTAGTGTTTTTTTCGTGTGCGAATCTCATTCTTAGCATCGCCATCCAATTCGGACCTTCATCGAGCCGAAGCCCTCGAAGGAGATCGGGATATCTCCGAGCACGCGCCGTCCAGGATGCTGGACACCTTGATCGGCGCAGGCGAATCTGTCTCAATGCCCACCACCACTGAAGCGTTGAACGGCCTGACCAGGTCCCGATGTTTTTCCTCTGCCACCTCCAGACTGCGAGCGATCTCAGCCACACGGAGCCTTTGGCTGTCCAGCTTGTGGTGCAGGGCATCGTAGTGGTCGACTGCGCTAGATGGTTTATCTTGAATGCCGATGTACTTCTTCCGGGCGGCGGTGACCTGTTGCGAGAGAGGTGGCACGTAGGCGGCAGCGGACTCTGTCGGGCCTTCTTCTGCAAAGCCCGCTTGTGCCCCTGCTCGCTCTAGCACTTCGACAAGCTTCTTGAGCCGCCCAGCTTCTTGGAGGCGGACGAAACACCAGGCAAAACAAATTGAGCATAAGGGGGGCGAGGGAAGCAAAGGGTCTCGCTCGCGCTCTTGCCACTGCCGTTGTTCGTGCTGCCGTGGGAGGAGGAGGAGGACGAGAAGGAGGAGGAGGAGGAGGACGAGAAGGAAGAGGAGGAGGAGGAAGAGGAGGAGGAACGCGCCTCAAGTCAGAGCATCCCTCGGCAGTTGCCTGGGAAGGGTTGTCGAGAGTTGCGCGTGCCGGCCCTTCCGCACCCGCGGCGGAGAGGACAAGGAGGACAAGGAGGACGAGGAGGACGAGGAGGAGGAGGAGAAGGAGGAGGAGGGGGAGGAGGAGGAGGGGGAATCGGAGGAGGAGGAGGAGGGAAAATGAGGAGGAGGAGGAGGAGGAGGAAGAGAAGGAGGAGGAGGAGGAGGCGGAGGAGGAGGAGGAGGGAGGATGAATTCGCTTTAAATCAGAGCATCCCTCGGCAATGGCCCAGAAAGGGTTGACGAGAGTTGCGCGTGCCGGCCCTTCCCCACCCGCGGCTCGGGGCATGCCAGGTGGAGGACGCGAACCGAACCCCAACGGCCCAGAGACAGTCGTTCGAACATTTTGGAACGTTCCAAAACACCATCCTCTGGTCTCCGACGCCACGAATCAAAATGATTTTTGCGTTTTGGCGATCCTGAATCGTGCTGGAACACCATTCCTGGGACTTCAACACCGCGAATAAACGTAAAGGTTGCGCCTTGACAATCCTGAATCGATCCACAGCGCCCTTCTTGGTAGGTTCACCATGCAAGAATGTGAAACGCCTGCTGCTTTTTTAATCGAATGTGCGCGGCGGCGCTAATGCGAGAGCCACATTTCGACTGCCTTCCGTCCGTGAGCCACATTTTGAAAATTACCCGCCCTCAATTCGCTAAACCTTTTGTATTCATAGGACGAATGCACGCGGACCTAAGGCGAGAGCCGCATTTTGAAAACGGCCCGCCATCACTGCGCGAATGCACTGCAATGTTTAGAGACGAACGTGCGCGGCGCCAAGGCGAGAGCCACATGTTGAAAATCACCCGCCCTCCATCTGTGAAGCTGGTGCCACTGTTTAGACTTCAGGGTCATAAGTGGTGAAGAAGTCTTAGGCGAAACGCCCGGCCCGCACTCCTGACTGGCCTCTGGGTGTGACGAGGAACAGTTATTGGTAAAGCAAAGAACTGGAGGAAGAGGGGGAGGAGGCGGCGGAGGAGAAGAAGGAGGAAGAAGGGAAGAAGAGGAGCAGGAGAGAGGAGGAAGAGGAGGAGGAGGAGGAGGAGGAAGATGAGGAGGAGAAGGAGGTCGGAGGGAGCAGGGAAGAAGACGAGGAGAAAAAGGCAGGAGGAGGAGGAGAGGAGGAGGAGGAGGAGAGGAGGAGGAGGGAGGGGGAGGAGGAGGAGGGGAGAGGAGGAGGAGAGGAGGACGAAGGAGGGGAGGGAGGAGGAGGGAGACGGAGGAGGAGAAGGAGGAGGAGGAGGAGGACAACGAGGAGGGGGAAGGACGATGAGGAAGCGGAGTAGGAGAAGGAGGGCGGATGTGGAGGCAGGAGGACGCAGGAGGAGGGAGGAGGGAGGAGGGAGGAGGACGGCGCAGCCGCCCGAGAGCCCCACCCTTCCAGGGGTCAGAGGGCGGCTGGCGAGGCCTTGTTCCGACCGTGCCCCGCAGCCTCGGCTGCCTCGGGGGCAGGGCCTGCTCTTGATGGCGCCCTGCCCCCCCTCGCCCCCCCCCCCCCCCCCCCTTGATGGGCCAGCTTTCCGCCACCACTACCCCAGGTAGCACGGGGGAGAGGGGAGGAGATGGCCTCCTCCTCCTCCTCCTCCTCCTCCTCATCTTCCTCCCTCTCCTACCTATGGTCGTGGTGGTGGAATTGGGCCCATCCCCCACCCCCCACCTCGGGGGCGTCCCCATGCCACACAGATGGGCCAGGTGGGGTTCCATGCCGCCAGCCTGGCATCGTCTTCGCCTTTGTGGGGCCTCGGGGGAGGTCTTCTTCGTCACCGCCGGATTTTCGCTTCGAAATGCCGGTCACAGCGCATATCTCGGGAGCGGTCCGTGAAGTACCAGGAGGGGAAACAACACAGGCACAATGCATCGTCGATGCCCACGAACATATATTAAAATGTTGGAAGTGTGGGGGGCAAGCAAACCAGAAACTATAGCAATATGGGGATTCCTGGGAGTTGTGCGCATTATATATATATATATATATATATGTGTGTGTGTATGTGTGTGTATGTTCTTGGTCCCCTTGAAAGTAGCGGTATCCGTACCTTTCGGTTCCCCCCGGTGCGGGAGCGCGCGCAGGACTCTAGGCCCCCCCCGTCCCTGCGATCTGTTGCTCTGGGCCTTTCGGATGGGGTCCGAGGCCACGTGGTCGGAGGATCGCGCCGCATCGCCGATGCATCGCCGCTGCGGCTCGATGCGGAGCCCGGTTTTCTGCACGCCGACGGCGCCGATGCGTAGCCGGCGTCGCCAGTGCATCGCCGATTCATCGCGGATGTAGCGCCGATGTATCAGCGATGCGGCGCGATCCTCCGACCCCATCTGCTCAGACCCCATCAGGGAGGCCTCTAGTGTCGGCGGTTGCTGCGTAAAGGTGTCTCTGGCCCAAGGTAGGCATGGCCTCAAAGGAGAAAATATTGCAACATCAACAAGGCGCTGGAGTCCGCTGGAGCCCTTTGGCCACGCCTCGGGCGCCGTCCTTGGCGCGCTCTGCGAGCCAGGGAGGGGGCCCAGCTCCGACCCAAGAAATCCGCGCGGACATCCGACAGTTTATGCTTATGCAGTTGCTTCTTCCTGTGCAGCATCATGCCGTAGCCGTTTTCGATCAGGGTTTTGGCTTCCTCTCGTCCCACGGTCGTCGTGAGCGGAGCCGCTCCACAGTCAGCCCTTCGCGAAGTTGTCCCGGTCTGCTTTGTGCAGCTCCTTGCGCGCCCGGTCTTGCCGAAAAGAAGTGTACTAATTTGGGCCGTTGCCAGTTGATCTTCGAGTCATAATCATAGAAGGCGAACGGCATGCAGCAATGTTCTGAATCAGCCCAGCAATGTAAACGGCCATGGGCAATAGACATTAAGGCGCGGGCGGAAGCACGGCAATGGAGCACAGCGCTGCATCTGTTGCGCGAATCGTACTTGCTGCGTGTCAAGGCAGGCCGAGGCTGTCACGTTTCCATCATCATCGCATGCGGGAGAAGCGAACAGTGGCAGCAGGCTCTGTTGCTGCTCCGCCAGATGTCCCTCCTGAGAGAGGAGCCCGACGCCGTCAGCTACGGTGCCGCAATCAGCGTCTGCACGAAAAGCAGATGGCAGCAGGGTTTGTCGTTGTTCAGCGAGATGCGGGCAGTGATGCTGGAGCCCTCCGTCATTACTTATAGTTGTGGAATCAACGTGTACGACAAAGGCAATCAGTGGCAGCGGGCTCTGTTGCTGCTGAGCCAGATGCGGGATGCGAAATTGGAGCCCAATGTGATCAGCTACATGTCTGGGATCAGCGCTTGTGAGACAGGCAAGCAGTGGATGCATGCCTTGTCGCTGCTCAGCGAGATGCGGCATGCGAAGCTGGAGCCCTCCGTCATTACTTATAATCGTGGAATCAACGCGTACGACAAAGGCAATCAGTGGCAGCGGGCTCTGTTGCTGCTGAACCAGATGCGGGATGCGAAATTGGAGCCCAATGCGATCAGCTACACTTCTGGGATCAGCGCTTGCGGGAAAGGCAAGCAGTGGATGCATGCATTGTCGCTGCTCAGCGAGATGCGGCATGCGAAGCTGGAGCTCGGTGTCGTTGGCTACAATTCTGGGATCAGCGCTTGCGAGAAAGGCAAGCAGTGGATGCATGCCTTGTCGCTGTTCAGCGAGATGCGGCATGCGAAGCTGGAGCTCGATGTCGTTGGCTACACTTCTGGGATCGGCGCTTGCGGGAAAGGCAAGCAGTGGATGCATGCCTTGTCGCTGCTCAGTGAGATGCGACATGCGAAGCTGGAACTCGATGTCGTTAGCTACAATTCTGCGATCAGCGCTTGCGAGAAAAGCGATCAGTGGCAGCGGGCTCTAGCGCTGATGAGCGAGATGCGGGACGTGAAGGTGAAGCTCGACGTCATCAGCTATTGTGTTGGGACCAGCGCGTGCGGGAAGGGCAACCAATGGCAGTCGGTTCTGTCGTTACTCGGCGAAGCGCGCGAGGCCAAGATTGTGCCCATCGTTATCGACATTACAATACTGGGCATGTTGCGTGCCGGCAGGGTCCATGCTGACCCGCCCGGCCACGGCGCCCCCGCGGCCTCGCTCGAGGGGCTACGCCGTCCTGGCCCAAGAGAGCTCCAAGACGACCACAGCGAACTCCAAGAAAGCCCAAGTCCGCCCCAAGGCGGCCCGAGATGGTCCCCCGACTGTCCAAGGTCGCCCAGCGCGCCCCACGACGGCTCAAAGGGGACCCCTGGCAGGGTCCAGGAGCGAAAGCAACTCATGGGTTTTGGGTGTCTGAGGCGTTTCCGCGTGCTCGAGTTTTTTGTCGAAGCTCTGGGCGCCCTGGACGGCACAAGATGACCCCCGACATCGACCCAATACCGCCCGTCGAGGCCCTGGAACGGTCCACAAAACGGCCCAACAGGGCTTCAAGGCAGCCCAGGCAGCCCCCAGGAAGGTGCAAGAGGCCGCCCGGATGGCCTCGAGCCGCCAGACGGGACCAAGGCGGCCTAGGAATGCACCAAGATGGCGCCAAGGCCTCCCTTGACGTCCCCAGACAGGAGGTAGAGGATGATGATGATGATGATGATGATGATGATGATGATGATGATGATGAGGAGGAGAGGAGGAGGAGGAGGAGGAGGAGGAGGAGGGGGAGGAGGTTCACTGACCAAACTGCCAGGTCTGCTTGGGTTGCACCCCAACTCGCAGCCTCTTAGTAGGGGTTGCTAGCGAGGGCTCGCCGTGGCTAGTAGTCCCCACAAGGATGAATTGGCTGCCTGGGTTAGGGGTAGCACGCGGGGAGGGTTGCCAATGCATGCCAACGCATGCCAATGCATGCCAACGCATGCCAACGCATGTTGATGCATGCCAACGCATGCCAACGCATGCCAATGCATGCCAATGCAGGCCAATGCATACTAACGCATGCCAGTGAACGCCGATGCATGCCAATACATGCCAACGCATGCCAACGTACGCCAACGCATGCCAACGCATGCCAACGCAGGCCAACGCATGCCAACGCATGCCACTGCATGCCGACGCTCGCCAATGCATGCCAACGCATGCCAATGCATGCCAATGCATGCCGACGCATGCCAACGCATGCCGATGCATGCCAACGCATGCCGATGAATGTCAACGCACGCTAACGCAAGCCAATGCATGCCACTGCATGCCAATGCATGCCCACGCATGCCTTCGCATGCCAACGCATGCCAATGCATGCCAACGCATGCCAACGCGTGCCAACACATGTCAATGCATGCCAATGCATGCCAACGCATGCCATAGCATGCCAACGCATGCCAATGCATGCCAACGCATGCCATAGCACGACTTCGCATGCCTTCGCATGCCAACGCATGCCAATGCATGCCAACGCATGCCAACGCATGCCAGCACATGTCAATTCATGCCAATGCATGCCAACGCATGCCATAGCACGCCAAGGCATGCCAATGCATGCCAACGCATGCCAATGCATGCCAATGCAGGCCAATGCATGCCAACGCGTTCCATAGAACGCCAACGCATGCCAATGCACGCCAGTGCACGCCAACGCATGCCAACGCATGCGAATGCATGCCAACAAATGCCAACGCATGCCAAAGCATGCCAACGCATGCCAATGCGCGCCAACGCATGTCAACGCATGCCAATGCATGCCAATGCATGCCAATGCATGCCAATGCAGGCCAATGCATGCCAATGCAGGCCAACGCATGCCAGTGCATACCAGTGAATGCCGACGCATGCCAATGCATGCCAATGCATGCCAACGTACGCCAACGCATGCCAATGTATGCCGATGCATGCCGATGCATGGCAATGCCAATGCATGCCAACGCATGCCAAGGTGAGGATAGAGCGCGCGCAGAAAAGAGTTGACTACCCCGGATAGGGGAAGCACACGGGGAGGGATGCTTTGTTAGGGGTAGCATTTGGAGCGGGAAGATAAGGGTTCAACACATGAAGGGCCAATGCCCCAGCATGAGGGGGTCAACGCATGAGGGGCCAGCCAAGGCCCCAGCATGAGTGGTCAGGGCATGAGGGTCCGAATCCCCAGCGTGAGGGGTCAACGCATGAAGGGCCAATGCCCCAGCATGAGGGGGTCAGCGCATGAGGGGCCAGCCAAGGCCCAAGCATGAGGGGTCAACAGATGAAGGACCAATGCCGCAGCATGGGGGGGTCAACGCACGGCGGGCCAGCCGATTCCCCAGCATAAGGGGTCAGGGCATGAGGGGTCGAAGCCCCTGCATGAGGGGTCAACGCATGAAGGGTCAATGCCCCAGCATGAGGGGGTTAACGCATGGGCGGTCAGCAAGCCCCAGCATGAGGGGTCAGGGCATGAGGGGCCGAAGTCCTGGCATGAGGGGTCAACGCATGAAGAGCGAATGCCCCAGCATTGGGGGGGTCAACGCATGAGGGGCCAGCTAAGGCCCCAGCATGAGGGGTCAGGACATGAGGGGCCGAAGTCCTGGCATGAGGGGTCAACGCATGAAGGGGCAATACCCCAGCATGACGGGGGTCAACGCATGAGGGGCCAGCCAAGGCCCCAGCCTGAGGGGTCAGGGCATGAGGGGCCGAAGTCCCGGCATGAGGGGTCAACGCATGAAGGGCCGATGCCCCAGCATAGTGGGGTCAACGCATGAGGGGCCAGCCAAAGCCCCAGCATGAGGGGTCGACGCGTGAGGGACCGAGGCCCCAGCATGGTGTGTCGACGCATGAAGGGCAAGCCCCAAAATGAGGGGTAAGAGCATGAGGGAACGAAGCCCTGGCATGAGGGGTCAACGCATGAACACAATCCCTGGTATTGGCAAGACTATCCTCTTCAATCATACAAGACTGCGGAAAGCCCACCCCCATACAGCCGTATCAGGGCGCTGCCCTGTAGAGGTAACACACTTCGTGCGAATGCCAAAGAATGACCTGATTCATAAGGCAGGTATGGAGCAGCTGGGAAACCATGTCCAGCCTCCGCATATGTCGAGTAAGCAACTGCTCGCTCGACATGGCGATTTTCAAGCGGGGTTGGGTGGTCCCCTATTTGAAGCCGGATTGCCTGTGTCGCCCCGGTGGCGTAACTCCAGAGGGCTCGGGTGAGGTGCTCTTTGGAGATCGATGGTCTCCTTACAGGCGCCCCGTGCGTCCTCACCCGACTGCCCAACAGGAGCCCTGCGCACAATTGGCACGGGGAGGAGGAGGAGGAGGAGGAGGAGGAGGAGGAGGAGGAGGAGGAGGAGGAGGATGAGGACGACGAGGACGAGGAGGAGGAGGAGGAGGTGGAGGGGCGCCAGGCTCGATGTAGGCCTGGGCGTTTTCAGCGTGTTCCACCTTGGGAGTCGGAGAGTGCCTGATCAATTGAGTTCGTCCTGTCGAGCTGGCTCCTCCTTCTCCTCCTCCTCCTCATCCTCCTCTCCCTCCCGCTCTGCTCGTGGCGCCTCGTGTCAGGCCAGAGGCTGGGAAGCTATGGTAAGGCAGGCAGAAAGTGATGTGAATTCAAAAATTCCCCGTCCTTCCAATTCTCTGGCGCCGAGGCGATGCGGTAGGCAGACCGTGCTGTGGCTTCAATGTGTCCTATGCTTCCAACTCTCTGGCGCCGAAGCGGTGCGGCAGGCAGAAAGTGATGTACATTCCAATGTGTCCCATTCTTCCAGCTCTCTGGCGCCGACCGCCAGCAACATCGAAGAGGCTTCGGCTCCGAAGAATGGGACAATTTGGCATATCCAGCGTGTTCTATTTGCCACAGCGCAGGGAACGCGACGAGCCAACTGGGGACACGAGGAGACAGCGGGAGACACGAGGAGGGGATGAGGGGGAGGAGAGGAAAAAGGAGGAGGAGACCCCATTACCTCTCCTCTGTCGCCTTTCCCTCCTTTTCCTCGTCACCCTCCTCCTCTATCCCCTCCTCCCTCACAACATCCTCTCCAGAACTCGGGGGAGTGACGGTGCACGTACTTGGTTTCGTTGTTGACGCTACTTCCCTTCGACCGCGAACAAAAACCAAAACATATGAGTGAAGCGATGGACGTAGCGTGGCGAGGTCGTGACGTGCATGGTTGCTGCATGTAGAGATATGAGGTTTTGCCGCGAAGCCGGGAAACCAACAAAACAGGATTATGATGATGATGATGATGTTGATGATGATGATGATGATGATGATGATGATGACGGTGCTGGTGACGACGATGCTGCTGATGACGACGATGATGATGATGTTTATGATGGTGATTACGATTGCGTAGGTTTTTTGCTCAAGCGGGTGGATCTCGCTCAAACGTTGACGGGTCGCGCCATGCCTGCATCATGCGGAAGGCGATCGCGACGCGCGATCGGAAACGTAAGGCTTCGTTCGAACGGTGGATCAAGACGCCGTGGGTGGAAGCGGCGTGGGTGGCGAAGGCCATAGCGGTGGTTCGGGAGCTCAAGTGGGACGTGTCGGAGTACATGGGTCACGCGCATGCGGCCAACAGGCGGGCCGACCTCGTCACGAATGTCCTTAACAAGCACGAGGGCTTGGTCAGAGCGCTGCGGCCTCTGGCCGACGAGGCGAAAACTCTCGAGGAGGACAGAGCCAAGCTTAAGAATAAGCTCGCACATGCCGCGCATGAAGACAAGGAGGAAGCGGAGAAGACGAGGCAGGAGCAGGAAGAGCACACAAAGACGGAGGACCGCCACAGAGAAAGGGATCGCCCACCTTTGCCTTTCGGGCCCCCTTTCCCCCTCTGCCCCTGATTTTCCTAGACAGCCTTGCTCTTTCAGCTGCAGGCGCCTTTTGGCTCGCCTGCCCCCGCGGGAGAAGCTGCGCAAACTAACCCCCCAGCGGGGCCGCTTCGCTCGGCTCGCCGAGCCCGCCGAGGTGGCGCGCTACTGGCGCTGCGCCGCGAGCCCGAACCCCGAGTGGCGCCGCTCCGTCAGGGGCGGCCCCTTTGGCGCGCAGTGAAGACAACGCGCTCGCGCAGTAGCCGCGCCCCGCGGCGCTGGGCTTAGCCGGCGTGAGAAATGAGCGGGTTGCATCAAGTCCGCCCGTTGCTCCCCCCCGCCCCCCCTCTTCCCCCCCGAACGAACCAGGCCGAGAGGCCCAGGCGCAGCGAACAAAGAGGGGGATCCGACATTGGATCTCCCTCTTTTCTTTTCTCGAATGCGCGTTCGTCAGATCAGCGCGCGTCATCGCGA